TGCGGCTAGGGTTGGGGATGGGTGTGGATGCGCTTATGTATAACCTTTCACCTTGTGATCTGAGCCGTCCATCATGATTTAATATGGACCGTCTGATCGCAATTAAAGTGAAAATAAATCTGGGTCGTCCATCGCGATGCGATCTGAACTGTCCGTGCGTGATCAAATCTGGGCCGTCCGCACGCGTGAGATGTGGGCCGTCCGTGCGTACGGGAATGGATCTGGGTCGTCCGATCGCGCGCACGCAAATCGCCCACGTGTCTCCGTCCCGCGTGGCTTCCCGCGTCAGCGTCCCTGCCACACGGCATGTCCTGGTTGGCCAGGGCTACTGACATTGCACTATTTTTTTAAATTGCATTTTGACCCCGATTTTCGATTTTCTTTTCAAAAACACCCCTAGAATCCAAATTTTCATCATTTTTTTTCAAAATTAATTTCAATTAAATCCCAAAAATAATTTACTCTCTATTATTATTATTTTTATTTTTATTTCTATTAAATTAAATTAAATTTAATTAAAATCTTATAAATTAATTATTAAAATAGAATAAAATTAAACAAAATTTCAATAAAAATAAAAATAAAATAAAAATAAAAATAAAATAAAATAAAATTTTTGGGTGTTACACCAACTCTAGCTAGCTAATTTCTTGCCATCTTGAGTTTGAGGTGGAAGGTTAGACTACTGTATTTATTGTATTGATTGTATTGTATTAATTAACTTTATTCTCTTTTAAACTTATATATTAATTTAGCATATTAGGAGTTATACAATTATGAAAAGACACATAATACTAATATAATTCTTTCTTCTCACATTTTAATGACTAATAAATATAAATTGTGCATAGCAATATTTTTCATGAGTATACTAAGCAGATTGAGAATTATTGTTATTTTATCTATTTTCATATCCTCAAAAATTCACCCACATGATCGGTGTCATGATTCAGTTTCCAAACTCTAGCTAGTTAATTTCTTGTCATCTTGAGTTTAAGGTGGAAGGTTATAATATTATATTTATTATATTGATAGTATGGTATTAATTAGTTTCATTCTCTTCTAACTTATGTCTTAATTTAGCATATTAAAAGTCATACAATTATGAAAAGACACATAATAAAAATACAATTCTTTCTTTTCACATTTTAATGATTAATAAATATAAATTATCCATAGTAATGTCTTTCATGAGTGTACTACGCAAATTGAGAATTATTGTTATTTTATATGTTTTCATATCCTCAAAAACTCACCCACTTGGTCGGTGTCATGATCCAATTTCCAAACTCTAGCTAGTTAATTTCTTGTCATCTTGAGTTTGAGGTAGAAGGTTAGAATATTGTATTTATTATATTGATAGTATTGTATTAATTAACTTCATTCTTTTTTAAACTTATGTCTTAATTTAGCATATTAAGAGTCATACAATTATGAAAATACACATAATAAAAATACAATTATTTCTTTTCACATTTTATTACCAATAAATATAAATTGTCCATAGCAATGTCTTTCATGAGTGTACTAATCAGATTGAGAATTATTATTATTTTATCCATTTTCATATCCTTAAAAACTCACCCTCTTCGTCGGTGCCATGATCCAATTTCCAAACTCTAGCTAGCTAATTTCTTGCCATCTTGAGTTCGAGGTAGAAGGATAAAATGCTGTATTTATTGTATTGATAGTATTGTATTAATTAGTTTCATTCTCTTTTAGACATATGTCATAATTTAGTTAATATTTAAGAGTCATACAATTATGAAAATATACATAATAAGAATACAATTCTTTTTTTTTCACATTTAATGACTAATAAATATAAATTGTCCATAGCAATGTCTTTCACTAGTGTACTAATCAGATTGAGAAGTACTCTTATTTTATCCATTTTCATATCCTTAAAAACGTGTCATGATCCAGTTTTCAAACTCTAACTAACTAATTTCTTGTCATCTTGAGTTTGAGGTAGAATGTTAGAACACTGTATTGCTTGTATTGTATTAATTAGTTTCATTCTCTTTTAAACTTATGTCTTAATTTAGCATATTAAGAGTCATACAATTATGAAAAGACATATAATAAGAATACAATCTTTTCTTTTCACATTTTATAGCTAATAAATATTTAAATTAAATAGATTCCAAAGAAGATACTTAATTATTTTTCATTAAAAAGATGAATCATTTTTGTTTTAAATGTAATTGTTAAAATGATATTATTTTCTTCTTTGCCAATAAGAATATATAAAATCATTTTTTATATTTAAACAATTAAAGGATATATCAATATAAAGTTAACTTTTATATATTTAAATAATTATGTCGAGCTATTTGAGATTTATGTATGATTACAATTGAATTTAATTTTCTAAAAGTAATAAATATGTTTCTGTATAATAAATATATTTATCTATTTTAGTTATATTTTTCAAAGAATACTAAATTGTTCTTAATTAAACATATATTATATATAATTATATCACTGTGAAATAATAAAAATAATAAGACAATTGACTCTTCTTTAAAAAATGAAGAAAAAAAATTTAATTCAACTTTCTTCAAAGATTGTAAAGGTGAGAAAAATTAAAAGTTTACACAGTATATATTGAATAAGTAAACTGTTAAAAATCTATTTTAGTTTATAAAATAATTATATTTTAAAAAATAATAAACCCAGATTTAATTCTATCAATTTATAAACATTTGAATGCTTCTTTCCCTAATTTCTTGAAACTTATTTTCAAATCTTGCATAATTTAAACTAAAATTATTTATTGTATAGATATATATGCATAAAAGCATATACAATTACTGAAACAAAATTAGTATTAAAAATATAATTGAAAATGTTAAAGAAATATTAAATTCATATTTTATGTATATCATTAATTTTCAAAACTGGATGTTAACATGCATATATTTAGAAAACAAAAATTGAATATATAACTTGTTTAGTACAAAACATGCCTTAAATAATAAATTGTTACATAAATTTCACATTTTTTTCCAATTTAGTGTAAATAATTAGTTATTCAATTTAAACCCATGGAATTTCTGAAATTTTTTGAGTTAAAAATTCTGAATTTTGATTTTGATACTCTTCCAAATTTTCTAAATGAGGTTTGTCTACCAAATCACACTAAATGACAAGAATAGGAAGTAACCCAGAAACTGTAACTTGGAAGCCCGGGAAAAGTTCCGTAAAAGGTTTGCTTAACCATCATCATCTGCTACATGTCCTTTCAAGGTTGTTTTATGTCCATACAAATCTTTCCAACAAAATCGATGATGGCTTTTCCTCTAGCATCCATCTCTGTCCATTCTCTGTTTGTGTTTCCATGGCGACTCCCCTTCTCTCTCTCTGTACGTACAACCAACTTCCTCACTATTCAAATATCTCTTTCACGTCTTGTTTCAATTCAAAGCCAAACTTCCACGAAACAACCCATTCTAGAAAAACACCAGATTTTGTTGCTTTTCATGGTGCCAAAAAGTTGCTTAAAAAACCATTTCTCCACATACCCAATGAGTCCATTTGTGTTTATCCCTATCATTCCAGCTCCTTACAAATGGGTCCTCGGGAAAGTTTTTTTAGGAGAAGAATCTCAGTGAATTCTACAGGGGCAGACAGTGGAAATACCTCCACAGTTTCTGGAAATGTGAGTTGATGGTTAATTTTTTCTTGGGTTTTTCTTTCTTGTTTTGGTAATGTTTTGTCTGTTTTATGCCTTCTAGGTGTTTGGGATTTTGCACTTGGTTGTTTCATTGGGGATAATCCTCGCAGTGGATAAGTTCTTGAAGAACGCGTTTGTGGCCGCTGCTATTAAGTTTCCCAGTGCATTGTTTGGAATGTTCTGTATTTTCTCTATTCTGATGATTCTTGATTCTACCATTCCAGCTGCCGCTACAGGTTTGATGAACTTTTTTGAGCCTGCAGTCCAGTTCATCCAGAGATGGCTCCCATTGTTTTACGTACCATCTTTAGTGGTTCTGCCACTTTCTGTTAAGGATATTCCTGCTGCTTCTGGCGTCAAGATATGTTTCATTATCGGTACATTATGTTTTTTTTTTCTTTTTCATTAGCATTTGAATTTGCATTTCTGGTAAAGTCTTTTTTTACCTTCCATTTCTCAATGACTACCATCAATTCTATAAGTATGAATATTGTATTTCAATATCATAAGGAACTCTGAAAACAACTAGTTGAATTTGACATAGAATTAACTTGAAATGAGGGTCTCATTTTCATTAAATTTCTACAATATTTCATATTTGCATTATCCTCCCGTTCCTATTTCACGTAATTAAAATTTGAACCAAACTCAATGTTAGCTCTTGGCTTTATTTTGGTACAAACATGAGATTTGGTGTTACTAACTGCCAATATACCTGGACAAAACATATTAAGCTACATGATTAGCCAAAGTAATGCTTCATTTCCTTTGTGCTCGAGCATTTAAGTTCTATGGGGCTACTTTTCACTATTCGAGGTCTTACTGTTTTCTTTGAAACAATATGGTATATAACTACCAGTTAAGCATTATATATGCAATAAAAAATGAAGATAAACTGTTGAATTTAAGATATGCACAACCTTCGTTCAATATATGTGTTCTGCAAAAACCATGTGTTTGTCTCTTGCCTCTAACTCCTTGTATTTTAATTAATTTCTCCATTGTTATCAAGTCATAAGTGCAAGTTCTTTCCACCTTGGTGTTTCTATGGTCATCTCTAGGTTGAACCTGGAATCTCAGACTGTAGACTTATCATTGTTCATGTATTAGCGAAGAGTGTCATTTCTTGAATGACGTCTCTGGAGAAACAATTTCATGCACAATTTAATCCTCATTCAGTCCAGTTTCACTAGATTGCTGCTGCTGTCAAATTAGCATGTTCATTACCTATTAATTGACCTAAAAGGGTTTGACCCATTTTTATGCAGGAATGTTGTCTTCTTAGGGATCAATCACTTTAATGATGTACAAGTTACTAACATCATCCGTGATTGAGTCAGCCTATGACAATGAAACCTCTACTAGTTTCAAGATTAGGCAGCCTATATCTAATGCTAATTCTAAATAAATTATTGATTTTGGCTTGTTAGATCAAAACCCTAACTTATGAGTTATATCCTTGAGTTGGAAAGATCATGTTGTTGGTCCATGTACTTTCTTGTCGTTGCGTTTTGCTTTTGAAAGCATAGAGAACAGTTAGTTTTCATGCGTGGAAATTAGTCCTTCACTCATGTCCAAAGAGTTCCTCGGATTTTGGTTTTGCTTAAAAGTTTGTTTGAATAACAAAAAAGTACTTAAGACAAATGTTTGTGTACATTTATTCTGTGACCTCTTTGCATTAATTTTCTTATGGTGGCAAATCAAACAAGTGTTTTTACGTCTTATTGATAAGGAGCTTCAGTTTTTTTTTTCACTGATAAGGAGCTTCAATTTGCATATCTCTTAAGATGGACTTCAGTTTGTACCTAAAATGCCTTTCTTTCTATACAGTTTTAGAGTCATGAACATTATTGCTGCTTATGGATTGTTAGACTGCTCTTTCAAACTGACAGTTGTCTGCCATTAGAAACCAGAAGCACCTTAAGATCATCTGTCTCATAACATCTGACTAGGAAAGCTTCCATAACTTTGTAGTTACCACGATACTATGAGCTGTACAGCTACATATTGTTCAACTTGCTAATTCCATAAAATAAGAATGCCATATAAATGAAAGAAAGGTTGAATTGAGAATAACATTTAATTTCATCTTCTATTCTGGTTAGACAGATTAGTAATTCCCATCTAGCCAGATAAAAAAGATATCCGTCCCCATGAAATTCATTACAGGAGAGTGTTCAAATACAAATAAATATGAAAATTAGGATCCAATCCTATATATCAACTAACTAAAAATTTAATCTAGCAGGTCACACATTGTGTGCTCATTCTTGATTTAAGAAATTAAGATTTAGATAATTTTGTTATGGCTAATATATGCATTATTGATGCTAAACTTTTAAAATAATATATGCTGTATGTTGTTGCGAAACTTCTAATTTTAGCAAGCTTATGACCTGGACAACAAGGTGATTCCTGAAAGAATTCTTCATTCTGGCCCTCTTCAACAGAATAATTAGATATTTCTGGGGTAGGAAATTTTCTTACTGATTCTGAAGATCCGTGTATTTTTCTGGTTGTCCCTCTCCCTCTCCCTCTCCCTCTCCCTCTCCCTTGCTCCCTCTCCCTCCCTCTCTCTCTCTCCCTCTCTCTCTCTCTCTCTCTCTCTCTCTCTCTCTCTCTCTCTCTCAATCTCTCTCACTCTCTCTCTCCC